GTTAGACCCCTTTTGAAACCCTTGAGTGCAATCTCCTCTTCTCCAATTCAGACTCTTAACATTCTCAATACAGGACAAAAGCAAAGGAAAACTAGTAAGCTCAAGGAAACAGAAACCTAGTTTTTAAGGCCAAGCTAGGAAGACACCAAAGAAAGCCAGTCTCACAGATGCAAAGGAAATAGTTTTATTCTAGCAGGACCTTACGGAGGTCTGCCAGGAGGAGATACCAAATCTGAAAAACTGAAGGTTTTTAGAAGCCCTCGTCATCATCTTTCGGATGGAAAAGGCACCACTTAGGCAGGACTTACAAAATGTTCTATTTAGTACCACATGAAACAAAGACAGATAGAGCCCAAGCCAAAAGGGAGAGGAGAAGGAGAGAAGAAACAGTCTCCAGAGAAGATTCTCTCACTTCTGGGATTTGGTGAGACACCGATCAGAGGCAAAAAGACACAGAATTGCAAGGGATTCTGGCAATCACTTGTCTTCTTGCCTGAATAAGATTCTGATCCCATCCCATCACAGTGAAGAGCAACATTTTTTAGGGGGAGAGGGGGAGGAATCCAGGGCACCCCCTTTCTTTTGGCTAGGCTTGCCAGATACATTATTGAAATGAAGTTCCTCTCTTCAAAATAACAAACAAACAAAAACATACTCTCTGTCATTGAGTCAATACTGACTCATAGTGACACCACAGGAGAGGGTAGAACTGCCTTTAAGGGTTTCTAAGATCCTTTATGGATAATAAAGTGTTCAAGATTCTTTATGGGAGTAGAAAGCCCATTCTTATTCCTGAGGAGTTGCTGGTGGAGTTGAACTTCCAACCTTGTAGATCACAGACTAACTCACAACCACAATGTCCCCTGGGGTTCTTGTCTTAGCAAGAGAAATATTTATTTTTGGAAAACAGAGGCATCATAACTGAATTTTACTAGAAATGCCTCAGAGGAAGAAAACTTTACCCAGCCAGCAAGACTGGACTCAATATTTGTTTCCCAAAGCATGCACGATGAACTTTTCTAAGCCTCTTGTGTGAATGAGATTCTTAGGGACTTCCATTAGTTCAGCAAAGGGTACAGGGGAAGTGCCCCTAGGGTGAGAAGTTGTCATGGGCTCAGCACATGCTCTGTCCAAATCTCTACCTTTGCTCCCTTGCTGGGTCTCAGAGTCATTGAACCAAAAGGAACTAGTCAACTTTCAACTACTTCAGGAATTGAATATGATCAAGAACGATGACACTGAATGAAGAAATTCAAGCTGCACTGAAGGCATTAAGCATAAACAAGGCTCCAGCAATTGACCAAATACCAACTGAAATGTTTCAGCACGCTGATAAAGCACTGGGAGCACTCACTCACCTATGCCAAGAAATGTTGAAGATTTGAATTTTTCCCATTCCAAAGAAAAAGGACCTCGTGGAATGTGGAAATTATCAAAGAATATTATTAATATTGATATCACATGCAAGGAAAATTTTACTGAAGATCATTCAACAAAGGTTGCAGCAGTACACTGACAGGGGCCAGCGAGATTCCGAAGATGACATGGATATTGGATATCAGAGGATTTGGGACTGAAAGCAAAGAATACCATAAAAATGTTGACTTTTTTTAATTGACTATGCAAAGGCATTCTACTGTGAATCTTAGTTTTGAGAAGAATGGGAGGCACTTTATTGTGCTCATGTGGAACCTGCACATGGATCAAGAGGCAACCATTTAAACAAAGCAACAGAATACTCCATGGTTTAAAATCAGAAAAGGTGTATGTCAGGGTTTTATATGCTCCTCATACTTATTTAATCTGTATACTGAGCAAATAATCCAAGAAGGTGGACTATATTAAGAGGATGTGGCATCAGGATTGGAGGAAGGCTTATTAACATGACTGCCAAATATCATCTACCACTCCTCTATCAGTTTGTCGTACGTGGTGGCTTGTGTGTTGCTGTGATGCTGGAAGCTATGTCACTTGTATTTCAAATGCCACCGGGATCACCCAAAGTGAGCAGACTTCAGTAGAGCTTCTACACGAAGAACAGACTACAAAAAATGGGGGGGGATGCCCACTTCAAAGGAAGGAGCTGCTGAAAAACGTATGTTTAGCATGGAAACACTCATTGATATTAAAGACATCCATGGAAGCTAACATTGTCGGAGACAGCCTTAGGGGACGGGTCCCTGGGTTCAGAAAGCACTCAAACTGTGACTGAAGAGGAGCCGCCTTCTCAAAGTAGAGTTGACCACGGTGATGGAAATGGGCTAAAGCCTGTGGGAGTAGAACCTTCAGGATCTTCATTTACTGATGAGGCACAACTCCAGGTAAACAGAAACGTGTGAAAATATCCACTAATAATCAGAAATTTGAATATGGAGTAAGAATCTAGGAAAATGAAAAGTTATAAAAAATGAAGTGGTACACATCTAGATCAATACACTAGGTTTAGTGGCTGAAAGGGACTGGTATTGGTCATTTTGAATCAGAGAATCCTGGGGCTCACTGTGCCAGAAATGACGTAATTGAGAGGAATGGAGTTGCAGCCATTGTCAAAAGGACATCTGAGGTCACTCATGAAGTATAATGCTGTCTGTGATATCCAATCAATACAACTATCATTCAAATTTATGCACCAACCACAAAAGTTAGTGATGAACATATTGAAGAATTATATCATCTTCGGTCAAACAAATCGATCAAATATACAATCAAGATGTATTGATAATGATTGGCCATTGGAATACAAAATTCAAAACAAAGAAGCAGAAGAGCAGTTGCAAAATACGGTTTTGGTGATAGAAACAAAACTGGACATCACGTGATAGAATTTTACAAGACCAATTATCTGTTCATAGAAAATAACTTTTTCAGCAACACAATGACAATAAACACAATGAGCATCTCCAGATGGAATACTTGCAAATCAAATTGATTATATCTATGGGAAGACAAGATGGAGAAATTAAAAATCAGCAGCAAAAACCAGGCCAATGGCTGACTGTGAAACAGACCACCAACTGCTCATAGAGAAGGTATGGTTGAAGCTAAAGAGAATTAAAACAAGTTCATGAGAGCCAAAATACCACCTTGCGCCTACTCCACCTGACGGTAAGCACAGATTTGCCTCATTGCACACTAATGACAGCAGATCTGATGAGCTGTGTGAGGCCATCAAGAGCATCATTCACGAAGAAAGCAAATGTCCCTGAAAATACAGCAAAGAACGGACCAAAGGAGATGTCAGAAAAGACTCTGAAATTTGCTCTGATTTGTAGAGTAACTAATGCAAATGGAAGAAATTGTGATATACAAAAAACTGAATAGAAAATTTCAAAGGGCAGCTTGAGAAGACAAAGAAAATATCATACTGAACTGCACAAAGACCTAGAGTTAGAAAGCCAAAAGGAAAGAATACACTCAACATATCTTAAGCTAAAACAACTCAAGAAAACCTCCAGCCTCAAGTGGCAAAATTGAATAGTTCAGTGGACAAAATGATGAGCGATGCAGCAAGCATCAAAAGAATATAGAAAGAGTCTACTGAGTTACTTTACCAGAAAGATTTAGTAGCCGTTCCACTATTTCAGGAGGTACCATATGAGTAAGAGCCAATGATGCTCAAGGAAGAAGTACAAAGGGCACGGAATGCATTAGCCAAAAACAATGCTCCAGGAATTGATGGAACACCATTTGAAATGTTTCAACGAGATGAGGAAGCCCTGGAAGTACTCACTGGTCTGTGCCAAGAAGTCTAAGCTAGTCGAAGCCAGAAGACAGCTAGTTGGCCAACTGACTGGAAGAGCTCCATACTTGTACCCTTTCCAAAGAAAGGTGACCTCACAGAATGCACAAACTATAGAGCAAGGATGTTACTTTAAAGACTACGGGGCACCTGCCAAACCATGGTATTTTCAATGGCCTCATATGCATATGGTCGTTGAATAAGGAAGACAGAAGAATTAATGTGTTTGAATTGTGTTGCTGGTGAAGGATATTGAAAATACCAGGTACTGCTATAATGACAAACCAATCTGTCTTCGAAGTATGAACAGAGTGGTCCTTAGAGGTAAGGCTAACAAGACTTCATCTCACAGAGTTTGGACATGCTGTCAGGAGAGAACAGTCCCTGGTGAAGGGCATCATGCTTGGTAAAGTAGAGGGGCAACCAAAGAGAAGGTGGCCGTTGACCTTCTTAGATGGGTTGGCACAGTGAGGGCAACAATGGGCTCAAGCAGAAGAACAATTGTGAGGAAGGTTCAGGACTGTGCAGTGTTTTTTTCTGTTTTGCATAGGGTTTCTACGAGATAGAACCAACTCAGCACCTAACAGCAATAAAAGCCAAATAGCATGGACTACTCAAAGAACAAATGGGTTTTTCTTGGAGGAAGTGCACCCCAAAGGCTCCTTAGAAATGAAGACAAGATGTTGTCTCATGTACTTTGGACATGTCAGGAGAGAGCAGTCCCTGAAAAAGCACATTATACTTGGCAAAGTAGAAGGCCAGTAAAAAGACGAAGCACCTCAATGAGATAGATTGACATAGTGGTGCGACAATGGGCTCAAACGCAGCAGTTGTGAGAATGTTGCAGGACCGGGCAGTGCTTCTTTCTGTTATTCATGTTCTCATGATGAGCTGAAACCAACTTGATGGCACCTACTAACAACAGTGTTCCAGAGAAGTAGGTAACATGTAGTGTGCATTAACTCTTGGAGTAAACAATGTGCAAAATTGGAGTCATTCCAACTAGCTCGGCAAGGGTATACTCGAATCCTTGGCACAAAATACAAATCCCAGCAGTCTCAATAGAAAGAGGCATGCCAACATTGTGACTGTGCTTTTAAACATTTTTAGGATGAATATTGTTACATTAACACCCAGGTTCTTTTTCTCATTTTTTACTGTAGACGTTACCTGTTTGTTTCCATCACTGATATCATTATACTGCATTATCATTATGCTCGTCTTTGAATTTATTTGAGACTTGTTCATTTTTTGTTGACAGAACCTTTTGAAGATGCTCTCAAGAACCAGTCTATGGGGCCTGTGTTGAGCAAGGCTACCTCCTTAGAGTACATCACCCCCATCTCCCTCAGAGTCCCAGATGCCAAGAAGCTGGAAGAACTAAAGGCAGAGCCATGGTACCAAGGAGAGATGAGCAGAAAGGAGGCCGAGGGGCTGCTGAAGAAAGACGGAGACTTCCTGGTCAGGAGAAGCACTATGAGCTCTTGCACCTTTGTCCTTACGGGCATGCACAATGGCCAGGCCAAGCACCTGCTGCTAGTGGACCCTGAAGGAACGGTGAGCATGGTGGCGGGGAAGGGGGACTTTGGACTGGATGTTAGGGAACCTCTCAAAGTAAGCTAAGACTTAGCTTTTATATCTCCTCTTGCCAGTCACAACTTCTCTTCCTATATCTAAATATGCCTGCTGAAAGGATCCTTGTAAGACATATGTCTCATGTCCAGAGACATAAGAATTTCATGCTCTCAAACCAGAGAGGGACAATAGCAGATAAGAAGAAAGTCCCTGTTTCAGTAGTGACATTTGGAAGATAAAAGTCCTGGCTGAAAGTTTGATTTTCATGCCTTTTAAAGAAGATAAATAATCCATGTGAGACTTTTTCTTCCAAATGCACTCATCGTGGAAAAGGAATACAGGCACTTGGCTTTTTGATATGTATCACTAGAAGCATTAATCAATGAGGTTCGCACTTATAGAAGTAGAATGTGAGGAAGCAGAAAACCAATTGCCAATTAGCTTCTTTTCCAATTTAGAAATGGAAGAGGGCCTAATAATGATGAGGTTGTTTTTTTAGGTCAGTATATTTTTGTCCAAATAATTCTATGGGATTGACTTTTCCATCTTTCAATCAATAAATATATTTGATTTCACAATGACACAGTCTTAAAAGTTGCTGTACTTAATAACTGTGACTGGATTAACTTAACCATCAAGCAAATTCCAGGATTTTGAACACTTTTTCAATAAAAATAAAGAAGCAGGATGGAGTTACTTAAGTGAGACTTACAAACACATTTTCTTACCAATAGGTAGGAATGAAGCCATAGTCTTCAAATGAACTTGAATACAATTTAACTGTGTGTGGTAAGAAGAAAGGAGTCCAGTGGCTTAATGGTTAAACATTGGACTGCAGTCCTCAAGGTCAGCAGTTCAAAACCACCAGCCTGCTCCATGGGAGAAATACAGGGCTTTTTACTCCCATAAACAGTTACAGTCTCAGATACCTGCAGGGGAAGTTCCACCCTGTCCTACAGGGTTGCTATGAGCCAGCATTAACTCGATGACAGTTAGTGAGTTTGAGTGGTGAGGAAATGGAGTAGGATGGGGAGCATTGAATATATTACTTTAGGTTTTTATATTGCGTTACCTGCACACCTCAACTCTTGAAACACTCTAGACATCTGTATTTTCTTTTTTTTTTTTTTTTTACATCTGTATTTTCACAGGTCTTGTTTTCTCCACTTTGGAAAAACACTTTCCCATTAATATAATACATATTCTTCTAATCCACTTTATTAGATTTTTACATCTACGTGTTTGTGTTAGACTATCTATCTAGAGAATCAAGACCAGTTATACTCATCTATGCATGAGAAATAAATTTATATCAAGAGGTTATTTTCAATCAAGAAGGCAGCCTAGTTCAACCCAAGTGTGGAGGGTCTGATATTAGACAGAACCCTCCTCAGACTTACATAGCTGCAGGCTGATGGCACAGAAAGGCGAAGGTGGATGCAGGGAGATCGCAGGACAGTAGGCTTGTGAATTCAAGGTTGATGGATGGCTGGTCAACAGCTCCAGGGGTTGGGCAGCCCACATGGGACCACTCATGGAAGCAGTCAGAGTCCCAGTGAGAAAGAAAGTGAAAAGAAAGTGTGTGTGGGGGGGGGGCCCTCTTATAAAAAAACCACAACCCCAAGGAGGTATCATCAGACTGTGACCTGACCTGATTGATAGATTGGACTCCACCCCTACACTTTCACACAGGTGCAAGTTAACATAAAATTTAACTGCCACAGACAACCCTTGCCAATTTAACACTTGTACACAACCCTTTAGCCTTATGCAATCTCTAAAGAAAGACAATAATAAAATATTTGCAGTTAATGGGACACAACAAAAAAATGTACAGTTGAAAATGCACTAACTCATTTAAATCCTATATTCCATAAGTGAGTAAAACAAAAATATTTTATAACTAATGATTGCAGTTTTGTGAACATCTATACCTGAATCCTATAATTCTATCAATATCTTCCCTGACCCATCAAAGTTTGAAGCCAGTCACTTCATGGCTTTACCATCCCACATTTTGAGTATCCAGTTTCTAAACTGCCCATTTCTATCAACCCAGTGTGCTGAGGAGACAAGTATGTTCTTGGATGTGAAGCATCTTCATTCCATTAGAACCTATGTGTCTACATTCATAAGCAAAGTCAAATTTAAAACTATCTATCCAGCCAGCCAGCAAGCAATGTGCACCAGTTAACAGGGTGCACCTTCTTTAGATAGTCAGATTCTGGTTAACTAAGTCCCAGCCATTCCAAGCTAGGTCAATGGATTCCATCGCAAGCTAGGGAGTCTCCCATGACTCCCCCACTTCAAATCACTGGCTAGGTTGTGCCATAGCTTCAAGTTTTTGTGAAACTCCTTCAATTTCAGACCAGTCAACCTGTTTTTGTCTCTCCTCAAATCCCTGTGAGCCAGGTCCATCTACAAGTGTCAGCAGCTATACTCAACCTATCTCTCTATTGCTGCACATCCCCCACTTCTACTCACCAAGTGAATCCAGGTGGTCACCCAATGAGCATCCCAAGCTCCCCACAATCCTAAAGGAAGGTGTTGATGGGCACAGACTTTTTTGACCTAGCTGCAACCACAGGCAAACTGCTTCATCAAAATTTTAAAAAGTCAAAAATAACCTTTTTTTACCCCTTCAGGTCTCCCAACAATTCTAGTTACAAGTCTTTTCAAATGCAAATGTCCTGATGCTCAAGGCACAGGGTGGAGTTTAACCTTATAAAAAAAAAAAACTTTTCTTGGCAGGCAATTCCTAATGCCTCTTTTTAGTAAAAGAAATCATAAAAGCTGAAGGTGAGCATGCATACAAGCTCTCTCTAATCATAATTTCCAATCAATATAAACCCAGGACAGCAAGATCCTAGACATAATTTTTTTAAACACTAGTTCAACGTTCTCTTAGACTATCTCATTCATATGTGTTTGTCTCTGGACTCCTGGCCAAGGGGAATTCAGTAGGCCTTCTAGCAACGATCTTGTCCAAGATCGTTCTTATCTTTACTTATCTTTAAGGCTTGTCCAAGCCTTCGGGAAGTCTGATAAACAACCCGCCACCTAAATTGTAATGTAAAATCGATTATATTCCTATTAAGTTCACTGCAAAGATAAACCAAATCCAGGACAGAGAAAAGGAAAGGGAGTTTAGTCTGCAGTTCCCAGGCGAGATTCACGCAGTCATGGAATCCCGCTGCCCAAGAAGGAGAGAGCAGAGGAAGAAGGAGATGGGAGTCCTGAACTCCCTGACAACTCCACGGGCCCCAGTCGGAGGGTGGGGGTGGGGGGTGGACCAGAGAAGTCACGCTTATCTGTGGTGCAGAGCAAGTTTTAAGATGATCAGGGAGCCAGGGTAAACAGTAAATGTAGAAACCGCAGGAGGGCAAATGGGGAGGAAAGGGAAGGAGTTACAGCTGCGGGGCAAGGCAGATGGCTCATTGATCTGCGGCCCTTTGGAATTATCCGTCTGGGTCCATAGGAGCAGACAGACTTCTCCTAATGTCCTCTGACCGGTACCTGACCCAACACTTCCTTTGTGCCATTTCAGGTAGAAACAACAAATGATAGCTCTTACGAATCAAAAGTTTCACTTCCCCAGCCCAACAAATGATAGCTCTTAAGAATCAAAAGTTTCACTTCCCCAGCCCTTTCCTGAAACCAGCTGAGTAAACTGTGGCCATATCTGACCTCCTCTGCCATCTCAAAGGAGATAGAAAATCCAACTCCACCTGAGTGCAGAGGTTAGACAAGCCTCCACTCTCCATACTCATGATTTGTTTCTCTAGAACCCCACACCCATGGTACCAAATTGTGTTAAGTTAGGTTGTCTAGAAACAAAACCAATGATGGTCATATATATAAAAAAGAGCTTTATCTTAACAATAATTTTATATCAAGAAGGCCTAGTCCAACTTAAGTCCATGGATCCAACACTAGCCAGAGCCCTTTTCAAACTCAAGTAGTTGCAAGCTGATGACACAGAAAGATGAAGCAGGATGCAAAGAGATCACAGGCTAGGAAGTGCAGGGTCTTGTGGATCCAAGGTTGGTGGAAAGACAGCAGAATCCACAGCTCCCAGGGCCAGGTGGCCATAATGAGACCACCCCTGGTGGCAGACACACAGACTCAGGGAGGAAGAAGGCAAAGGGCCGGGGGAAAGAAGTTACCAGTGTTTCTCTTTAAAAAAGGCCACACCCACACATACCATCAGGCTGTGACCTGTTTAATAGATTAGACTCCATCCCCATATTTTCACACAGTTGACATAAAATCTAACTGTCACCCTCTCCAAATACAAAAATGCATATTTTGTGTTTATGAGTTTTCAAATTTTGCAAACACAACATTGTTTGATAATTCCCATTTCGATCTTTTGCCTTTTTCACTCATACAAATCTTGAGATTGATTAATTGCCTTCGGAATATTGTGTTGTGGGCTCAAGTAAATGACAGCCACTATAATGTCTTGATAATTTAGGAGGGTCTTTATTTGGTTATAATCTAAAAGCGATTCTTTGCAGTCCCAAGTCTACATTTCGGTTCATCTTTAAAGGCAAAAAACTCATTTATCCTTTGTCTAAGACTTAAGCAAGCAGAAAACAAAATTAATGTTATTAATCTTTAGGGTTTGGGAGCATTAGAGGGTACAACATTGATTATAACATTCCGGTAACTTCAAGAAGAGCAAGCATGCATTACATTCCTTATCATAAAAGAAACAATACCAAAATTGACTATAACATCCTAGTTACCATAACAAGATTAACTACACCACTCAGATTACATCATCAAAAGGAACAACATTAAAACAAGTGATATATTGAAGAATAGTTGAAACTGATGGTAGTGTTGAAAACCTGGGTACCAAGTGTACATTCTAAAATCAGTCATTAGTGGGATTTCCCGAAATGCAAGGGGGAAGGAGACAGGTCATTCAGTAACTTTAAAAAAATGGAGCTTCTTTTGCTTGTCTGCCTCGGCGT